ATGATTGGAGTAGGGCTGGCACTACGAACTCCTTGCGGAATATCAAGACTCTCCAGAGTGAAATTGATAGGTTAAGCTTATCCAACCCATTAATTGGGATGAGGTCAGAAATCTGGAGAAGGAATTAAGTCGTCAGTGGGAGGCGGAGGAGGAGTACTGGCAACAAAAGTCTAGGGTTCACTGGCTGAAAAAGGGTGACAAAAATACAGCCGATTTTCACACAGTGACCAGAACTCGTCAGAAAAGGAATTTTGTGGAGGGCCTTCGTAATGAGACTGGCGATTGGATTACGGAGGAGAATGGCAAGGCAAACATTGCGACATCGTTTTATCAGAACCTCTTCACAACGGAGAATCAGGTGGCTAACATGGCTGAGCGTGTGGCAGGATTGCCTATTTCTCGTAATGTTACCCCTGAGATGAATGCTAGCCTAACGGCGGAGGTTCTCCCTAGTGAAGTTCGGAAAACGGTGTTTGCCATGGGGTCAAAACAGGCGCCTGGGACGGATGGGTTCACTGGTAAATTTTTCAAAACCTTCTGGGATATTGTAGGGGGTTCGGTAGTTGACGCGGTGTGTTCGTTCTTCACGACAAGTCGACTACTCCGCAGCTTCAACCACACCTGGCTGACTTTGATCCCGAAGGTTAACAAGGTGGAATCCATGCGGCAATTACAGTCTATTAGCCTATTCAGTTCGCTTATAAAGTTATTACCAAAATCTTGGCAGAACGGCTTGCTGGTCTCTTGACGCAAATTATATCGGAGGGTCAGAATGCGTTTATTCGGGACCGGCAGATTGTTGAGAATATACTCTTGGGGCATGAGTTAATGCACTATTTGAAAATCAAAACGCGGGGTAAGAAAGGATTCATGCCTCTAAAGGTTGACATGGAAAAGGCCAATGATAGTGTCGAATGGTCCTTTCTTCTTGCTATTTTGGAAAAAATGGGTTTTAACTCTACCTGGAGAGGATGGATTCAAGAGTGTCTCCGGTCCGCTTCTTTCTCTGTCCTCATGAATGGTACCCCCTCAGGTTTTTTCACCTCCTCCGGAGGATTAAGGCAAGGAGATCCTTTATCTCTTTTGTTATTTGTGCTTTGCACGGAGGGCTTTGCCGCGCTCCTTCGACAAGCTATCTTGGAGGGTCGTTTAGAAGGGGTAAAGGTGGCTCCCTGAGCGCCCCGTATCTCTCATTTATTCTTTGCTGATGATTCTTATCTCTTTTTGAGGGGTACTCTACAGGAATGTGAAAATTTGATAGAGGTTCTGAACGAGTATGAGGAACTGAGTTGCCAACGGGTGAATTTAGATAAATCGGCTGTTTGTTTTAGTCAAAATATTGTCCGCACGGATCAGGGGTTTCTGGATGCTATTTTGAGCGTGGGAGCGGTAGGGGTGCATGACAAGTATCTTGGGTTACCCTCGCTGATTGAGCGCTCAAAAATGGCAAATTTCTGGTATCTTGACGAGAAGTTACTAGATTGTCTTCAGGGGTGGAAACAAAGGACCTTGTCTTGGGCGGCAAAAGAGACTCTGATAAATCCATCGTGAGGGCTTTGCCCTTGCATGTGATGTCCTGCTTCAAACTGCCAGTCTCTTTGTGTCGGCTGCTGGACAAACATGTGGCCCGTTTCTGGTGGGGTGCTGCTGATGACCAGTTTCGTATTCATTGGATGTCCTGGCGAAATATGTGTCGTAGTAAACATGATGGTGGAATGGGGTTCCGTCTTTTTGAGAAATTTAATCAAGCATTATTAGCCAAAATTGGTTGGCGCATTCTTATGGAACCCCAATCTCTGCTTTCTCAGGTCTATAAAGGAAAGTATTTTCCGAGAGGCTCATTTCTTATTGCTATGGCTCGTTCTCACCCCTCATGGGGATGGCAAAGTATCCTGTATGGTAGGGACTTGCTGGTGAAGGGCTTGCGATGGCAGATTGGGAATGGGAAGTCCGCTCCGCTCCTCCACTCTAATTGGATTCCTTCTCTACAGTTGGATCCTCCTAGGTTTAATCCTCGGATACTACCGGAGGGGGGTGACCTGAGGGTGGAGGAGGTAATCTGTTCAGGGGAGGGGCGCTGGAATGATCAAAAGCTTGGCCAATGGTTTCTCCCACCGTCTTGCAGGGCCATCAAAACTATACCTCTACCGCGGCAGTCGATAGATGATCGGTTAATCTGGCATGACACCCCTGATGGAGAGTTCTCGGTCAAGTCGGCCTATCATTTAGCAGTCTCTCTTGATAACGTCGGGGGGGTTGGAAATCTGTGGTCAGTTGGATGGATAGGTCGAGCTGGATTCGTTTGTGGGAAGCCAATATTCCTCCCAAATTAAAGGTCTTTCTCTGGAAAATTCTTAATCGGACCCTGCCCACTACTGAGGCCCTTATTGAGAAGAAGGTCCATGTGCTTCCCAGGTGCCCTGTGTGTTGGGCTGGTTCGGAAACCATGGAACATCTTTTTCTCGATTGTCCAGTAGCGCGGGCCCTTTGGGATTTTGCTGGGTTGGCTCACCTAGGGGAGGGGCTTCCTCGTCATACTTTTCCCCTTTTCCTTAAGCGTCTTATGGCTTTGATTCACCAACCTACTGTTCTTATGGCCGTTGTGGCTGTCCTTTGGCGTATTTGACGATCTCACAACTGGGTGGTCTTTGAAGGCAAACAGTTTGGGTTTTCTGCCTTGATGCGTCATTTCCAGCAGCAATATGAGGAGTGGATCCGGCTTCCGGTGGATAAGCCCCCCCCCCCCCCCCCTTTCATGTCCAGGCTGATCACACCCATCATGTGCCTGTTCAGGGAAACGGAGCTGTGTGTATGTGGGATGGGGCTGTCCGAAGTGGTTCGTACTCGGCTGGAGGTTTGGTTCTTCACACCCCGGATCGGGAGGTTTTGATGGTGCAAGGTGTGTAGTTTTCATGGTTTGATGATCCCTTGGTAGTGGAATTGGTTACCTTGCGTGAAGCTGTGCTGTGGTGTCAATCGCTCAGCTGGGCGGACATTACTTTTGAAGGGGATGCGAAAATTATCATTGATAAAATCAACCACAGCGAGGCTCGAGATAGTCGGTTGGGTGCTGTACTAGATGAGCTCATTCAGATTTTTTTCGGGAGTCCTGGGTTTAGTGTTAGATTTGTAGGTCGGCGTAGCAATAGGGTAGCCCATTTGGTGGCTAGGAAAGCCCTCTCTCTGTTCCCAACTATGAGTAGTTCTTTTGATTTCCGGGTCTGGCTGGTGTCCAGGATGTAATTACCTTTTCTTGATCAATATATGATTATCTTTTGTCAAAAAAAAAAAGTTCCCAGTCACGTTCCTTTGATTCCTTCTTGAGTCAGCTGCCTGTTTTCTCTGATTTGGATGATGCTCCTCTTGCCACATTTAAAGACTCCGATCCTCCCTCCCCACCTGGCTCTTCGTTGCCCAGCTTACCAGCTTCGTCCGCCTCGCCGTCCTCTGCTTCGCCATCCTTGAGTTCTGGTTCGTCAGCGACTCCTACTCCCCCTCTACCATGGCATTCTACTCGGTCTACATTGGGGCAGCCTCCTGTTTGTTATGGTGACTATGATTATTCCTTCTACCACGGGATTCTACTCGGTCTACATTGGGGCAGCCTCCTGTTCGGTTCTACTATTTTTGTCCTTCTTCCCCGTGATGAACGTACTAAGTTGACTTCTAAATCTGCTCAATGTGTCTTCCTTGGGTATAGTTCTGTTCATAAGGGCTACTTATATTTTGATCCAATGCGCATACGATCTTGGCTAGGACAAAAATAGTAGAACCGAACAAGAGGCTGCCCCAATGTAGACCGAGTAGAATGCCGTGATAGAGGGGGAGTAGGAGTCGCTGACGAACCAGATCTCAGTCCAAACTGAGATAGGGATTGTGTGTCGAAACATCCGAGGCCTCCTGGAGAGGATGGGAAATGGATCCTGGAAACACTGTCCGCGGAAGAGCAATAGTGCGGCGCCCCTGATTTATAGAAAACAGATCATGAATAGGAGATACCTTCATGTGTCTTTCATTCCGCTACGGCTATTAATCACTCTCATCGAGACTCTCCCTCTATTGTTGGTTTCGTGTTCTGCTCTCCTCTTCACTAGATCATACCAAAGGAAACCAAAAATTTCAATAATTATTTAATTACTTTTTTTTCGATAACTTGGAATCCAGTTAATCATATTATTTAATCACTATTATTATCATGTGACCATTAGGGAACCAGATCCATCCATCCGAGTTTTAATAGGTAAATGGACTTGGTGGTGTGCATTCCATGTAAAACAGTAACCATTCCATAAGAGTTCAGTGATTAAGTATAATTTTTGAAATACTAAATTAACCAACTACCAAAAGTAATGGTTCAGTTAAGCTTACTAACCTAGACAGAAACAGCAGATTCAATGCTTGCCTTGTTCGATTGACGGTCATAAATTTCTAGAATGTTGAATTCTTGTGACGAAGTTTTGATATTGAATTTCGTTAGCATAATCTGGAATTGTAACTCCAAATATTGTATTTCCAGACCTTGTTGATTGGAAAATCACTCCTAAAATAGAAAGGGGTGTGCTAGAGGATAAATTTCATAGACCCTACAGTGGAGACACAAAGGACGCAGTCTTGATTGATGTAGGAAACTGCCATTGCCCTCTTGGCCGGCCGACTCTATTGTTCAATCATGCACACTGTTATTACATTCCCTCTCTATTCACTCCTCTCAGTCTTTTGCTATATGTTTTGCAAGTTGAAATATGGAATGAAATAGCATTAGACTAGGATGCAAATATTGAAAGATCTACACCATTATCTAATCTTATACCCTAAAGACCTCCACTGCCACTTAACAGCTTGCAACACTTTGTTCAATATATAGATTGCATAGGGAGGATAGATGCTAACAAACACAGAACACTACACAAACCATGAAGTTGAAAACAAAAAGGAACCTAATAGAGGGTGGATCAAACTACCCTGATGCATTTTTAATTGAACCATTAACATAAAGGTCTTGGACAGAACGAAGTTTATTGCCTTGAGAGTTGCCTTCCAATTGATAGATGCAGTGAAGGTGGTCAATATTGTGGCCCTCTTCGCCACCTGACTCTACCGTTCAATCAATGATGAAATCTTTTGGACGTGGAAAATGAAACTGTCATACATGATTGCTCAATATCAAAATATAAAGATAAGTACACTCATACTGAAACTGTAATACATTAGTTCTTATGTAAAGAGGAGAGAAATAAAACTTATAGACAGGGCCAAGCCACTTTCCCTAGCTTATTGGATTTAAAAAAGTTGTGTGTATCAGAGGAGGAGAGCTGAGCTACGGATAGTGCAGCTTGCAATGAACCTTGTTACTATATGCAGTAGCAAATTGAAATTGAGATAATACTAACAACAATCCAAAGAGTGTGTTCTGAGGAGTGTGATTGCAAGAAAAGAGTGATGAAAATGCATCAAAGTTGTGAAAAAAAACCAATACAATGCTGCACCAGAAATTATAGCAAGCAAAACAAATTATATTAAAAGCATAAATAAAAGTTCAAACAATAGCTAAGTTAGACGTAGTAGAGTTATAAGTTGTGTATTCCAAACTGGAACAACCCCGTGCCTTGGCATAGATTCAATTTGGTACTGATTTATAGAGATAATATAAGTTTCAATGTTCAACCTTCCTTGAAAGTTAAATTTACCTGGGTCATCCTCAATTCCTAAAAAATATATATGTTGCTCCACTATTCTCTTCTTCATATTCAAGTAGCCAAAGCTTCAAAATGCACCAACATAGTAACATTGATCACGGGTTTCAAAGATCTTCTAAGCTGAATTCAGGAAAAGATCTCAAAATGGACCAATAGTCCAATACCCACCAACTCCAATGATCTGAAACTCACAAAACCACATTTCAAAACTTCACAAATAAGGTTATCACAATGACCTGACCGGACCATCATAGCACATAAAATACCATATACAGAAATAAAAAAACTCAGGTTACCGGTAATGGGGATTCGGGGGGAGGACTAAGAGAGATCGAAACTCTTTAAAATTAGGCAAAGTAGCAACCAGAACCGTTCAATTGCTCCAAAACTCTGCAATTCGGACGTAAGCTGCAAATGAAACATGAGCAGAATTTCATGGCATCTTGCTAGGAAGGCTCGTCACATGATCAATCCACATCGAAGAGAGCTCGCCTGCTTGTTCCCAATTTCCATGGGTCCCTGGTCTCCTCCGGGAAGTATACTATTTTGGCATTTCTTGTTTGCTCTATAGCTATAATAAGTCCGTTGCTGGGGACGGAGAATGAAGACCCACGATGAAGGAAGATTGGCCGGAGAAGGAAAAACCAACTTATGAAACTTGATACCCAATTACCGTTACAGTCAGGTCGCCCGGGAAACCTTCTTGTTGGTGGCGAAGTTGCGGCGCCGGCGGGGAATTCTGTGGAAAGGAAGAGGACGACGGATAGATGGGTGTGTCACGTGAAATTTGGTTATTTTTAAATTTTAATTTGAATTATTAGTATTGTTAGTTGCTAGGGTTATGATCCACCTACCCCTAGACGTGGAGTAGGATTAGAAGAGTGGTTAGGTTTTGTTTTATTATTTAAGTGCAAGATTATGTTGATGGGGGAATTATGGAATAATATTGTTAAGAAATCTTGGAGGCTTTGAGCCTATTATCTCTCTCTCCCTTCTTCTTCCCTCTGCTTCATATTCTTCCTACCCCAATTCTGCCATTATCTTCTCCTCACTTGTTTTTATCTAATTCTATGTTCCAACCCAGCCACTTCCTCTTGTTCTACCTTTCTGATACAGTCAAAGACACGCAACTCTCACTCGATCAAGAACAGGGATAAAGTTGGAATCCAATAGGACAGAACTTGCTTGTGGAAAGGGGCAATTGGTATGTCAAACCAATCGGACAATCCCAACTAGAAGTAAAGGGCAATTGGAAGGGTAGAACTCGCCACAACCGAAGTGGATATCTGATTGATAAGAGTTGCACTAGCTCTCTCCAGAATAACTCAATGGAAGAAAGTAGGGCTAAAACCTCAAAGGACGACTCAGCAAAAGCCTTGAATAAATCAGAAGTTTGCTGATAATTGTCTAAAAGCAAAACCAACGTGTTCAGCCCTTTAAATACGCAAAGTACAACCCAAATCCGACTCCAACATGGAAAAACAATTCTAAACCGACTTTAAAACAAGGAAACCCAAAAATAGCCCAGCAAACCCGTTAAGGCTGGACTCGTTAAGACTTCTTCTTCCAATCTGCCTTCTGCCTTCTCTCCAGCACTTCCTCCTTCTTCCTCCACTCGAATCATCATATATGCTTTGGACTTCAGCAACTCCACATCCATGTCTCGAAAATAGCACTCCAAATAAGTAGCAAACTTCTCTTTGAATGCCTTAGCCTTAGCTCGAGTGATTGGCCCCTTGATGTCCTCATCAGTCCCTCCCTCTTCAAAAGGATTTGACCTCAAATCCGAGTTCTCATCTAGGTAAGGTGCAAGATCAGCCACGTTGAAAGTAGCACTGATTCCAAACTCACCAGGCAAATCAACCTTGTAAGCATTCGGCCCCACCTTTGCAAGCACTTGAAAAGGACCATCACATCTAGGCAGCAATTTGGATCATCTCTGCTGTGGGAACCTCTCCTTCCTCATATGAATCCATACCCAATCTCCCACTTCAAAGTTCAGAGGCTTCCTATGCTTATTCACATTTCTCATGATCTACTCAGTCCTCCTCTCTATGTTCTGCCGTGCCTTCTCATGTAAACTCTTCACCATCTCGGCCTTCTTCACACCATCCATATTCACTTGTTCCTTCAAAGGCAAAGGCACTAGATCCAAAGGAGTAAGAGGGTTAAAGCCATACACAAGCTCAAATGGAGAAAACCTGGTGGTAGAATGGACCATGCGATTATAAGCAAACTCGACATGAGGCAAGCAGTCTTCCCATGTCTTGAGATTACTCTTAATCACAGCTCTCAACATCTGTGAAAGAGTCTTGTTCACCACCTCAGTCTAGCCGTCGGTCTGTGGATGACAAGTAGTGGAAAATAACAACTTCGTGCCCAACTTGCTCCACAAGGTCTTCCAGAAATAACTGAGAAACTTAGCATCTCGATCAGACACTATGGACCTCGGCATACCATGCAGTCTCACCACTTCTCTGAAAAACAAATCAGCAACGTTAACAGCATCATCGGTTTTATGGCAAGGAATGAAATGAGCCATTTTAGAAAACCGATCCACAACTACAAAGATGGAATCCCTCCCTCTTCTGGTCCTCGGCAGCCCTAGCACAAAGTCCATGGAGATATCAATCCATGGTACATATGGAATAGGCAAGGGCGTGTACAACCCAGGTGGTTGAGCTTTGGATTTAGCCTGTCTGCACTCCACACAACGAGCACACAAGTTCTCCACATCTCACTTCATATGAGGCCAATAGAAATGTTCCTGCAGACAACTGAGGGTCTTATCCACCCCAAAATGTGCCATCAAACCACCTCCAAGGGCTTCTCGAAGTGAAGCTCTAGGAATGCAAAGCCGAGTGGCTTTAAAGAGATAACCATCACTCCTATAGAACTTCCCTGCTCCATGCTTCTCACAAGCTCGAAATATGTCTCCAAAGTCAGCATCTTCTGCATATAGCTCCTTGATCTGCTCGAAACCCAAGTAACGAGCATCCATAGTAGTAATAAGCACACGTCTACGAGATAAAGCATCGGCAACCACGTTATCCTTCCCCTGCTTCTACTTAATCACATAGGGAAAAGATTCAATAAACTCAACCCATCTCGCATGCCTCTTGTTGAGCTTATGCTGAGCCTTCAAGTACTTCAATGACTCATGATCAGTATGAACAACAAACTCCTTTGGCCACAGATAATGCTGCCAAGTCTCCAATGCTTGAACTAGAGCATAAAGCTCCTTGTCATAGGTAGGATAGTTTAATGCTGCTCCACTTAACTTCTCACTGAAGTAAGCAAAGGGACGCTTCTCCTGCATTAATACTGCACCAATTCCCACTCCAGATGCATCACATTCAACTTCAAAAGTCTTATCAAAATTAGGAAGAACAAGAACAGGAGCATGTGTAAGCTTATGCTTGAGCAGCTCAAAAGCTCTAGCCTGCTCTTCTCCCCACGAAAAAGCAACATTCTTCTTGATCACAGCACTCAAAGGTGCGGCAATAGTGCTGAAATGAGGAACAAAGCACCTATAAAAACCAGTCAAGCCATGGAAACTCCTTACTTCATTTACACTCGAGGGAGTAGGCCAAGCTTGAATAGCTTTAACCTTCTCGTCATCCACCTTGACTCCATCTGCACTCACTACAAAACCAAGAAAACCCACACTAGAGGTGCAAAACGTGCACTTCTTCAAATTAGCATACAACTCCTCTCTCCTCAATGTCGCCAAGACCTGTCTCAGATGATCCAGATGATCTTCCAAGCATTTAGAATATATCAGAATATCATCGAAGTAAACAACCACAAACTTCCCAATGAAAGGCCCCATAACATGGTTCATCAACCTCATGAAAGTGCTCGGCGCATTAGTAAGCCCAAAAGGCATCACCATCCACTCATAAAGACCCTACTTGGTCTTAAACGCGGTTTTCCACTCATCACCCTCCTTCATACGAATTTGGTGATAACCGGACCTTAAATCAATCTTAGAAAATATCATAGAACCATGTAACTCATCAAGCATGTCATCCAAACGTGGTATGGGATATCAATACTTAACTGTTATCTGGTTGATAGCTCGGCAATCGACACACATTCTCCAAGATTGATCCTTCTTCGGCACAAGAATAACAGGAACTGCACAAGGGCTTAAGCTTTCTCGAACATACCCTTTGGCCATAAGCTCATCAATCTGTCGTTGAAGCTCCTTTCCCTCCTCAGGATTCGTCTTATAAGCAGTTTATTTGGAATGGTAGCTCCAGGAACGAAATCAATTTGGTGTTCAATACCACGAATGGGTGGCAGCCCCATAAGCGTTTCCTCAGGAAATACATCTTCAAATTCAGTCAACACCTCTCTAGCCACTTGAGGAACATCTTGGAAGAGCTCTTGATTGATTAATACCTCTCGGAATCGAACCAAAATCATGGGATCATGGTTATTAATGGCCTGCTTCAGATCAATGCTTCTTTCTATCATTACTGCTTTCGAATTCTCAAGGGAATTCCCTCCTTGCTTCAATTTCCCTTCAGCCACCGCCTTCCTTGCTTTCTCTCGGCCTTGCTTCATTTGAAGCTGGTCTCCATACACTTCCAAAGGGGAAAGAGGTTTCAATACATACTTCTGACCTTCATGCCGCAGCTGGTACTTATTGGACACTCCATCATGTTGAACTTGGCGATCAAACTGCCATGGCCTATCCAATAGCATGTGTGCCGCTTGCATTGGCACCACATCACATAGGATCTCATCCTTGTAACTCCCAATTTCGAATTTCATGAGAGCCTGTCGAGTCACCTTGATAGCTCCATGATCAGTCAACCATTGAAGGTTATAGGGCTTTGGGTGCTTCACAGTATCCAACCCGAGTGCCTTCACTACTCCTGCACTCACCACATTGGTGCAACTACCTCCATCCACAACCAAAGACAGCAGCTCCCCCTTCACCTTACACCGAGTATGGAAAAGGTTCTCTCTCTGCTCCAGTTCACTCTGAGGTTGTGCAGTTAACACCCTCCTAGTAACACAACTTCGGATTAGGCCTCCTGTAGGTGGCTCCATCTCTATAGACTCATCCACTTCCGACTCCTGTGAACCAACTACATCGTCTCCATCATCTTCTTCCTCCTAAGATACATACTCTCCATTGTCCAAGAGAACCAATGTATTCTTCGTGGGACATTGGCTAGCTACATGTCCTCTTCCATGGCACTTAAAACATTGAATGCCACCTGATGATCCACCGTGCTTCACATTCCTACTGGATCCTTCCACCTTGGCAGTAGGTTTCGGACCTTCCATGAAAGGTAGGCTCGGCCTAGAATTATTGGCAGTACTTGGCATAGGTCGTGGAGTAGAGTTAAAAGGCTGAATTCGACGAGTTCTTTGCTGCCTTTCCACCTTAGCCGCCATAAATACCAACTCCTCCAGTTCAATGAAGGATTGTATCTCTACCACATTTCGAATATCTCTATTGAGACCTTGCAGAAAACGAGCAATGGTGGCCTCCCTGTCTTCATTCACATCGGCACGGATCATTAAGGTCTCCATCTCTTGATAATAATCTTCCACACTCCTTGTGCCTTGCCGCAGAAGTTGTAAATTCTGGTGCATCTCCCTTTGATGATAGCTAGGCACAAACCTCTCTCTCATAATGCTTCTCATCTCGTACCAAGTCTCAATAGGTCGCTGCTTGTTTCTTCTTCTCTTCGTATTCAATTGATCCCACCAAATAAGAGCATACTCCGAGAACTCTAGGGCACCAAGCATCACCTTCTTCTTTTCGGAATAACGGTGACAATCAAAAATCAGCTCCACCTTCCTCTCCCAATCAAGATAATGATCAAGGTTTGTAGTACCACAAAAAGGAGGAATGGAAATCTTCAAATTTCGAAAATCTTCTTCTTCTTCTTGCTCGAACTCATCCTCATCCTCTTCAAACCCCTCGAACCCTTCATTACGAAGAGGTCTTCGTTCTCTCCTTACTACTCGCGGCATTCCCACCCTTCTATTTGCTTGGTGGCGTTGCACTTCATGGAACAATGGTGGGGGTGCTCGATTTTCTCTTCTGTCTTCTCGTTGAACCCTAGGGTTTGGGTTTGCTTCCACTTCAAGTTGTGGTTGAGGTGCTTGAAGTCGAGATTCAATAGCTGCCATCCTATCATTGTTCTCGGCTCTTTGGATTTCTAGGGCTTGCAGAAGTTGCCCCAATTGAGTGGATAAAGCCTCGACTCTATCCTCCATCTTGGCGCACAAGAAAGGCCTCCAACCGCACAAGAAAATAAGATCAGGCTCCAAGAACCACTTCAAGTCTAGTTCCTCTCAAAGATAACTTCAAGAACACGCAAGATTTGTGTAAGAAACCCTAGATAACCGTCAAGAATCTCAAGATAGCCGTCAAGAATCAAGATAACCGCCGCTGACTTGAACCGAGCTCTGATACCACTTGATACAATCAAAGTCACGCAGCTTTCACTCGATCAAGAACAAGGATAAAGATGGAATCCAATCGGACAGAACTTGCTTGTGGAAAGGGGCAATTGGTATGTCAAACCAATCGCACAATCCCAACTAGAAGTAAAGGGCAATTGAAAGGGTAGAACTCGCCACAGCCGAAGTGGATATCCGATTGATAAGAGTTGCACTAGCTCTCTCCAGAATAACTCAATGGAAGAAAGTAGGGCTAAAACCTCAAAGGAGTACTCGGCAAAAGCCTTGAATAAATCAGAAGTTTGGTGACAATTGTCTAAAAGCAAAACCAACGTGTTCAGCCCTTTAAATACGCAAAGTACAACCCAAATCCGACTCCAACATGGAAAAACAATTCTAAACCGACTTTAAAACAAGGAAACCCGAAAATAGCCCAGCAAACCCATTAAGCAAACTCGTTAAGGCTGGACCCGTTAAGCAAACCCGTTAAGTAGCACTCCAAATAAGTAGCAAACTTCTCTTTGAATGCCTTAGCCTTAGCTTGAGTGATTGGCCCCTTGATGTCCTCATCACTTTCTTCACTTTTCCAACCTCTTTTCCTTTCTATTCTTCCTCATATTCTGTCTTTGTAGTGTAACTGTTCTTCTTTTCCTATTCTACTTCTTAATCACCATCGCCGATAACCATAGCTCCCAAATGAGACAAAGGGCTTTTGCCGTTACCGAGTCCTTGGCCGGGAATTGATAGATCGATTACAAGGTCCTACGCAAAAGCACACAACATCTTGGTATCAATGCCAAAACCCACTGTTGCAATAATGGAAGATCGTGTCGCCGACTCGAAGCTGACTTCAGAGATATGATGAACACACAAGCGATGGTGTTGAGGGAGATGCAAGAAAGTTTTGCACTGATGAATAATCGGTTCGATTAGATTGCTCAGCCTGCTTCCAGGGTTAATGAAGGGACACGAATCAACCAAAGGAATCAGTCGCAGGTGCCAAGGTTGAAGATCGAATTTCCCAAATTCAATGGACTTGAAGATCCTACCTTTTCGGTGTGTCGAGATGAAGCATTTGTTAGTTATTGTTGATTCGGGCTTATTTGTACACTTTTTACCCCCAGTTTGCTTAGTCGTTTGAAGCATTTTTACTCCAAGAGGTTTGGTTTACGCCGGGTTGTGTCTTGTTTTGGTATGTTTCGGGTTTTGGCAGGTGGAACCAACCCTCGGGTCAAAAATTGGACGGAAGGGCGAAAGATCAAGTAAAACGGTGGAAATAACAGCAGTTCACGGTCACTAAGACTGTGAACTAGAGTCGCTCCCCGCAAACTACCATACATCCAGAGCACATAAGGGTTTCACTAGGTTACAAGCCAGTTCACGGTCGTAAGACCGTGAACTCAGACCTCAGTCCGTGAACAGAGTTTAGTGATGTGGCGCGTTTTCATCGTTGATTCACGGTTAAAACTAGACAGATTAGGCCCAACCAGAGATAAAGAGAATAATTATAAAATTCATCCACCTAACACTCCCAATTATTATTTCCCCTTCCAGTAGGGGTGGGCATCCGGTTCGGTAAAACCAAACCGAACCGGACCGAAACTGAACTAAACCGAACCAAAACCGAACTATCCTTGTTCAGTTCAAAATTCGGAAGGCAAAAACCAATACTTCGGGAGCCAGGGTCTTCCCAACCAAAACTGAATTCCGATTTCCGAACCGACCAACCGAACTTACCCAAATCCTAAGCCCACAACCCCAAGCCCACACATGCCCAAGCCCGCTACATCTTTTACCCATTTCTCTAGTCAAACCCTAGCTCACTCGAACCTCACAACAATCAATAGTGGAGGGGTGAACCTTGGCGGCGGTCTCTCGGCGATGATAGAGCAGAACGCCGGCGGTCCCTCGACGACCCCACCGGCGATTGCATCAATAGATCATCTATTATAGATGACGAAGAAGGAGAAGGCTTGGCGGAATGTGTGGAGAAGTAAAAATCCTCGAGCTCTTTCAAGATCTGCCAGATTCGATACCTTCGCCCCCAAGTCAAGATCTGCTCGAAGCCATCGCTGTCGCAGTCGCCGCCTGCCGCCGTGTGGTTCTCTCCGTCAATCTCCATCGTCGGGTACCCTTGGGTTCCCTCTCGCAACCGCCGAGTCCAGAGATGGGAAGAAATCACGACTGCCGGACTGCGTATGCGACTATGCGTTGGGCTTTGAGGAGGGAGAGAGAGAGAGAGAGAGAGAGAGAGAGAGAGAGGGTCTGCGTAAATGGTAAATGGGGAGAGGGTTAGTGGGGAGAGAGTCCAAGAGAATTAATTATGAAACTTTGGGTTTGGCAACAAAACCGAGCCGAACCAAGAAATATTTCGGTTCGGATGAACCGAACCAAAATATATTTCGGTTCGAATTCGGTTGGCTCCATGAGCTATTTCGGGGACCCGATAATCATTAGTTCGGTTTGGTTTGAACCAAACCGACCGAATGCCCACCCCTACTTCCCACAAGGAATACACTCCAATCCCCTTATGTTTACCCCATTTTATTTTTTATTCTAAAAAAAAGTGAAAACAAAAGGGAAGAGTTAGGGTGCTGACACATTTGGTGATAATACAAACTCCCATCAAATGAAATATTTTGTTGGTCTAATACCACTAGGAAACCCGAACTATTAAGATTGTGCTGTTTGTGTTCTAAAGTATCCAATATGACAATAGTGTCCTAACCTATTATAGTTTGTGTCATTTATATCTTGACAATTTAATTGACCGTTATAGATAACTGTTGACCAGACGATGGTCAACTTGACATTGACTTTTGATGACGTGGGAAAAATGTGGTTTCCAAGTAGATGCCACGGTCACTGACACCTCATATTTTATATTCAAAATTAAATAAAAAATAAAATAAAAAATAAACATAATAAAAACAAAACAAAAACTCTCTCTTCAACCTCTCCAATCACGACCCTGCTCGCCCTCCCCATCGCCGAGGCCCGCTCCTCCTCCCCTGAAAATCCACAATCTCTCTCCGACCTCCCCAATCACGACCTTGCTCGCCATCCCCGCCATCGAGGCCCGATCCTCCTCCCCTGAAAACCCCCCAATCTCTCTCCGACCTCCCAAATCACGACCTTGCTCGCCCTCCCCGCTTCCGAGGCCCGCTCCTCCTCCCCTTGCACTCTTCCCTCCGTCAGCTTCTCTGTTTCTTCGTCTACCTTCCATTGAAACCAAGAAAACCCCCAAACTCTATCCGACCTCCCCAATAACGACCTTGCTCGCTGCTGCTCGCCCTCACCGCCGGCGAGGCCCGCTCCTTCTCCCCTTGCGCTCCTCCCTCCGCCAGCTTCGCTGTTTCTTCCTCTACCTTCCATTGAAACCAAGAAAAACCCCAAAATCCAATTACTCAATTGAAGAAATAGCTGGTCGGTTTCAATTTCACTTTCAAATTATTAAAGCCTCTTTCAATCGAAGAAACAACTAGTGGGTTGAAATTTCACTTTGTTTGGTGGGTCTTTGTGGCAGGATGAGAAGGGGAAGGAGAAGAGGAAGAGCAAGCCGCGGAGGAGGAGTCATCTGATGGTGGTCGTGAGTGAAGATTTCCAAGCCTCGATCCAACCTTCCCCTCGGATTCGATGACAAAGCCCTTGTCTGGGCGGAGGAGGAGTCATCTGATGGTGGTCGTTAGTGAAGATTTCCAAGCGGTTGTTGGTTTAGGGATATAAAGATGATTGTGAATAGATTGTTCAACCAGAGATGTTGATCTTTATATCTAATTTTTTTCTTTTAATTTTCTTTTGTTAGTTTATTCATTTTCTTTTTGAAAAATAAAAATAATAAAAATTCCACGTCAGATGCCACATCAGCGCTGACAAAACATTCTGTTAAAAACTAACAGTCAACACCAGTCAACTCTAACGGACAAATAGTTTAGGACAAAATTGTCATATTAGATACTTTAGGACACAAATGACATATTATTTATATTTCGGGTTTCATAGTGGTATTTGCCCTATTTTGTTTTGATAACTTTTTAATTAAAATGGCTTCACCACAATTAATGAGAGAGAGATTGAGGGGCACGCTAAAACTTGGGAGAAGAAGATCAAGCTAGGTGTGTGCATCAAGTGGAGAAGAGGGGGCATTAATTGGGGACCATAAAATCCAAAACACAAACACAATAAACCAGACCATTAAAAACTACAAAGCTTAGAACACATATCACAACCTATCACATGACGAAAGTCATACAACATATCAGAAAATTGAGAAAACATGCCATAAAGGTTAGAAAGCATACCACAAAGTCATCACACCACAAAAGTCATAAACTACACCACCAATATAAGAAAACTTATAAAACATACTACAAGTTTCTTAAAGCACGCAACGAGTCCCATGAAGCATACCAAAAACCTCATAAATCATACCAAAAGTCTCATAAACCATACCACAAGTTCATAAAGCAAACCACAAGTCTCATAGAGCATACTTAGGTTACCGATTCGTGGAGCGAGAGCGAGAGTAAGAGCGTGAGAGCGTTTATTTTAGAAGAATTATATAGTTAGAGCGTCTATAGAGAGTTAATATTCTATTATTTTAATTAAAATATTATTTAATTTACAAACAACAATTTGACAAAGTCTCACAAATTTTTTTTTTATAAAGTACTACACACCTAGAAAAGATTAACTCATAAACTACTTTGTAACTGGACATTATGCACCTTAGCAAAAAGAAAATGAAATAGTTGATTTCAATGGACTTAGTTACCCAAAAAAACTAAAGCTAAAGAATCTCTACAATCCCCACTAATCGGCCCAAATGTGGCGGCCTAATTCTAAACTAACTTAGCCACTCACAACGACTCAAAAGTTGGCTCACAATTCCATATCCCTCCTACTCCTAGCAATAGCCGCCGATTCCCCTTACAGAGACAGAGTCTTATCTACTCCTATCTAGAACTCTCCTCACCACACCCCAAATCTCGTCCACCAACACCTTTCTCTTGGAGAAAGCTTCCATATACTCACTGCATTCTTTCTGCCTCTTCAAACGCAGACAAGCTTCACTGATTCTTTAAATCTCACGCAGTTCAGCATGTCTAATGTGTATGAACTTGTTAATCATCTACAAAAATCATCCCCACAAGTTTCAAGATCTGCAAATCAATAGCGTCTTTCAGATGATGCATGCAGAGACTCCGACCTCCTCCCGACTTCCTCCATGAACCCAACCATCTATTTCATCCCCTTCACCAAATCAACGATAACCAGTGCCAAATAATAAATTGTGATTTTTTGGCGAACTCCTTCGCAAACTCGTTTTTGCGCTTCGGAGGGGAAGCCTCGAGCCCTATACGACGAATTGTGTGACCTAAAAGAATACCATAAACCTAAAAAATCACACCTCAAGTTTCTCAAAGAAGACCACAAGTTTCCTCAAACATACTATAAGTACAACCTCGTAAAGCTTACCACGAGTTTATTACAGCATACCACAAGTTTATTAAAGTACACCACAAGTTTCTGAAAACAAACTAGAAACCTCATGCCAATGGAATTATTTATAAACTTTAAACGTTTAGGAATCAAAATGAAAAGAAAAAACATAGTTACTAATATATAATATTTTATCATTATTTTTAGGACTTATGTGGAAAAATATTAAGTTTTAACACTAAAATATTAAGATAAATAAGTTCAGGTACCAAAACTGTAATTTGTATACAAAACAACAATGAAAGCAAAATAAAGAAAGGGAAGATGAAGGATGAAGAGATTAGTTACTATTATACTCCTAGTGATACGACCCGATCTTTTTCAAAAACCAAACCACGACTCAAACCCCAAACCGGTTACCCCGGAGCAACCCATAATGGTTTACAAGTCAAAACCAAAAATCAACAACGACAATGCTTAAGATTTTCAAGTGAAATGCCCTAAACACTTGGGCGACCTCAATCCAGAGCAACAAAACATAAAACACAATCCTTGAGTTTCCCAGTATACTCATTAAGACATGAAACTAAAGACAAATAAAATGGGAGGTCCCATCTCGTTACCCAGATCCAGTTGACATCTTCGGGTTAGTTGCGGCTGCTCTCCTCGGGTAATCTCCTCTTGATGGATGCGTCCTCTTCCCCTCTATGCACCTAGTGAGTGAGAAGGGGTAGTCTCGTCGTTACTCCCTAAGGTCGTTGCTCTAGGCCAACTCCTTACTAAACACGTTATTAGGGGGAATGCCTTCCTAGCATGAAAGCCGTTCTCGCTTTCTGCTCTTAAATAACCATTCTTATCAACTCATTTCAACAATAACTCATAAAAGTTCTCGACCTTTATCCTTATCTCAACACAAAACACTAGGACCACCGCGTTACGTCTCGTCGTCCGGTGTCCTACCCTAGTATGCCAACCGCGTTACGTCTCGCCGTCCGGTTGCATATCAAACTCGGCATTGGCATTGCGTTACGTCTCGTCGTCTAGTCCATGCCCGTCAACTATTGCGTTACGTCTCGCCGTCCAGTAGTGACCCAACCGCCCGGGGGTTCCTCATACCATCAACCCATACAACATCACATACATTCATACATAGCACACCGCGTGCCTCCACCCTTACAGGCGGTGAGATGCCTCACACACATATCGCACATACTAGAAAATAACCAACATAACTGAATAAAAAGACATAAACTAAAAGACCTCGACGGAGATTTTACCCCTTTTACACTCACCTCGAAAAGATGACTCCTCAATTCCTTCCTCGAAGAAACCCTTCCTTAGCCGGATTATCTTGGGGAAACCTATTAATAAGAATCCATTTCTTAGACGACCTTTCTTGATTTAAAACCCTTTCGAATCACTAGAACATCCCCTCCCCAAACTCCAGTCCTCAAAATCCCCAAATTAAATTACAATCATCTCCTAGACGTGGTTCAATTTATACAATTGTTAAATTCAGAAAACAACCTTCAGAGAGACTCGAAACAATTTAAAACATCTAAAAAATACATTTATGGAAATTCCCAGGAGCTTTAGTGACCAATCAAAATCTGTCACTAAAAGCCTGTTGCTAAAACCCCAGAATTCTACCCTCGCGAAAAATCACCAAATCAATCGACCTAACTCAAAGGGATCGAGTTCTCTTACCTCTAGAACATGCCTTGGCCTAGGTTGGATG